TGACGTGTTGGTATTTTCTTCTTAGTTTTTGTAAAAAAAAAAAAAAAAAGACAGGACAACGGATGAATGGTCATCGTTCCGCTGTGAACCGTGGAGAGAATCAATGTTTGTATCAACATTTCAACCTCCAGGGACAATTTATACTGCCAATGAGTGACCGTACTTTGGCACTGCTGTGCTATAATGACCGTGTGGACTCTATAGGAAATGTGTCCAGTCCTGGATGCAGTAACACTACAGTTATGGATTTACTCACTCCTTAAATTAGACGTAACCGTAGCCACGGACAGAGCCATTACAGTAAATCTAACGGATATAACGTCACGTTTGAAAACTTAATGGATACTTTAAAGAAACCATTACGTGTCCATCATGTACGAACTGCGTTATTTCGCTACCTCTCTCCGTGCAACGAAAACTTCAAGTTAATTAATCTAATACTGCTTTTGGTGACCCGTGGAAACTAGCTTGGATACGTGATGAAAATATTGATGATGTAGCACAAATCTGGCTTTTATAACTTTACAAAATTATTGATGATGTAGCAATTTATCAAAGTTGAGTTTGCAAATAAAGGAGTGGATGATATAAACATTCAGCAATATTTTACACTAGAAGTCTGTTCGTGCTAACATTCCACCATACTTTCAAAACAGAAATACCTAGTTTCAATCAACCCATAGCATCAAAACATTGTAACTTCAAACATCGCTGTAACAACTGAATGTAGATGACCTCAGAACTAGTCCTTCTTCAGATCGTTTTGTTTTACCTCTACTTATAACTATGGTCCAGCAAGGCAAATAATCCGGAACGATTTAAGCATAATTCGAAGTGTTAAGTTATTGAGAGCTTTTCATGAAATATGCTTTATATCGTCCGTTAGTTGGAATAAGAAATTTCAAGATACTTGAATACCGCTGAAAACTGCCAAAGAATGTATGAATCGAGGACATGCCGTGTTGGATTCACTTTCTTTTGGTTAAATCCATTCGGTTAATCATTCTTAAAGACTTTACAAATCTAAAATGAAAACAAAACACAGGTCAGGTTTCCTCGACCCTAAATGTTAAATCCAATCTTCGAAGATTTCAATTACATGCATGTGATTATGCATTCAGATAAAGGGTCCAAAACTATATCCTTCTCTGCAAGGACTATTACATTTCCTGTATATAAAAAGAACTAGGCTGCTTGGTAACAAAGGAAACGCCACCTATACATAATGCAATCTTTACCAGATTTAAACACTTGCCGCGTTATTATGATAATTTACATTGCCTATTAATGATAAGGATAATGACCTCGCACGTTAATATTAGATTCATAAACTTGACAATAATCCATATAGACAACGTTTTATATCTGGCTCGTCTAGCTGTTCAACCTTTGTCTAAACTACTCACCATCATTCTTAGTACTATCAAATTTGGGTTACAGTTATTGTGATACTCAAGAACTGGAATTTATATTATGTGGATTTTAAAGAATTCCAAAGAACTTTTGGTCAATCTTCTGTACACCACCATACCCCATTTTAAACTGTAACAACATCTTTGTACTCTTGTTATGACAGCTTTCCTTTCCAAGAAAGGTACACAGAGTTATAGTTATATGATTGTGATCTATACCGAAGCGTATTTCACTAAAAAAATTACTACAGAGCATAATGGTTACACCATGTACACAAACTCTGAAGAAGACAGAATTGAACCATCATACACAGACAATACTTCTACACATGCGTATAAAAAATCACATGATTGTGAAAAAAATATCCTTTAATGTATTATTAATTAGACGAAGCAGACTGAAAATCCTATTTTCATAATTTTTTTTTGTAACTGGGAATGCTTTAAATTCACTACTATTCTGACTGATGCTATAGTTTTTGTTAATGGAAGTACGTGCTACGCCTGAAGTTACGTAGCTAAAAGATATGGGGCATTAGTTACATGTATTATTCAGCAGGGGTATAATGGATGAAGAAAGCAGTATCCGGGAATAGACACATTATAATATATTTATATTTTCCATATACCTAGAAATAAAGATCGCGGGAGAGATATCGACAATCACCTAAGGCGTGGAACTATCTTTTTTTGATTATGCAGATATGTGTTTATTACTGAAGAATAAACAACAAAATATCATGAATTGTTAATATCTATATCTGTATAGCCTTGCTGTAGGTTTGTTTATTCTGGTATGAGATTATCTCCCAAGCCTCACGATTCGATCGGTTACAATAAGATTTTGATGTAACATCTTCTGTAAGAATATAAGTCAGATGCGATATCAAGTCACACAGTGTACCCTAGACACAAGTCCCCGTTTGTTGATAATTGTTGTTTTAAGAACCATGCGCGTATCCCACAAGTAAGTATCCCAGCTTTTTTCCGATGTCTAGAATCATAAAATGCATAGTGGTGAGGTCGTCTAAATTCGAAAGCCCTGACCAATTTTCATGTATACCACACATTTCAAGGTCATTTGTTAGCGAATCTCGTACAGATGCCAGGCCGTCAATGTACGCCTGTATTTGAGTAGCGACACATATAACCTTTGAACACTATCTTTTTGTCATCTTGTATCAATGCTGTGAATACACAAACTTGTCGATCAAACCATCAATGTACCAACTGCGAAAGATAATTCTTATAATATTTCCCAGTTATCGTTATACAAATGTTGCAAGTGCAATAAACTTGTACGTTAGAAGAAGAGTAAAAACAAAATACCATTATTGTTTATCTCGGTTAGTTAAAACAAATTATAAATTCAATAAATTCCATTTAACTCCGTTTGAAAGTGTGTCTGTCTTTGTTCTTTTAAAATTGTTGTTAAATGAACTATATAGGTATAAAAGAGAGCTGATATATTTCATAATCGTCTGTGTTCTTAATCTAAACGTGGCCTTTTGATGCACATTTTTCTTTAATTTAGTAACAAATGTCTGGTTGCATTCTTCATTGTATGTTTTACTTCAATATCGCTCTGTTGAAATATGTTTGTGGTCTATAAAAGACTTATTGTGTCTATAGGGCATTTTAACCTATGTAAATGATATACATTAGTACAGACAGGTTATTTAGCAGGTATGCCATTGTTTGGGCCACTTAGTGCAAAAATACTGTATACATGTAATATACCAACATTCCTAGATTACAAAGGACACCTAATTATCGTTCACTGATGATGCTATTATCCTTCTGACAAAACATAAATGATGATCTTGTCTTTCTAATAGAATGCAGGTACAGATGAAATGTAAAATGATAAGAACGATTCCCATTCACTGTGTAAACTTAAGGTACATGTACACAGGGGTTGGCACTTAATTTCTAAAGCGCATTGGCGCTACATATTTATCCTTTATGTTTGCTTTTTTTCTACACAGGAACGATACTTAAAAAGGGTCATCTTCTGTAAAGATCTCGTGGATTCACATAATTCGTTGTGATGATATAAACATTTTTTAATAAACGAAATTTGGCTTAGTTTGTCGTCGCATGCAATCTATGTGCAGTTATCACTTGAAAGGATCGTATGAGAACATAATTTTTTTATTAAACAAAAGTGATCGCATGACAACATATATACAATAGAGTCAAGATTACGGTTATGTCATTTGATATTTTTTTACATACAAAATACCTTTGTATTTATCGATGTACAATGGACTGAATTGGTTAAAAAGAAGCTAAAAACAATAAATGACAAATCATCACATTAAAAAGTGTTTTCTTTTTTTAGTTGAAGAAATTACCTTAAAGAGAGAAAGTATACAAACCAGGAAAAAAATGAAGACAGTTAAAAATGAATTAATGAAATATAATTTGAAAAATGTTCGACTTTCCCTTCCCTTGTGCTATTTGCTACAGGGGTTCTGCTACATCGACAATTTTCTATAATTATCCTTTTTTCTGTTTTCACATGGCACTATGTTGATGTACGTCTTAATGTTAAACTCCAATAGTTGATATGTCAACATTTCCACAACACTTTCTATTTTTGTAATCAATCTGTTACATTTCAATGAAAAATGAGTCTTGTTGAAAAAAGTCCATCATTACATTAAAAGCATAGTTAATAAAACTGAACATTTCCTATTCAACTTATTCTGGAGCCTAAACAGAAGTACAGCAACATGATATATTTTGCATTTAAATAATTGTTTAAAAACGAAAACTTTCGAAATGTTTGACCATCTGACATTCATACATTCGTTAGTCCAGGCCATTCGTCTGAGGATATTTCAAGCAACATTTTTTTGTTTTCATGTATTAACATATAAACCTTTTTAAACAATTAAGTTCAGAACATATGTTTTGTCTCGTTCTTTTAACCTTCGAACTCTACATCCTGAGGATGAATTTGAAAACTCACCATTATATACCTTATAATGTCCCTTATTTTCTTTCATACATTCAGAGATGGGATCTACACCAATTCAAAATGTTTGAACTAATGTTATATCTTTCTCTCTAGTACCCCTTACTTCGGCTTTTTTTCACAAAATGGATCCCTAAGCAAAATGATGTCACGATTAGCATTTCCTAACATTCTCTCAAGCTTTCCGGCTTTGTAGTATTGTTTATGAACAAGATCAATAAGATGCAACAACATAATGTAATATTTTTTGTACATATTGACTAGAGTACATTACATGTATTGTCTTAGTTTTAAAAAAAAAATCTAGATTTTTCATCAATGCGAGCTGTCTGCTTATTTTTTCGGGAGAGCCTCATTTAATAACGATACTGTTAAACACAACAGGAGGTGCATATAATTTTTCTTCATCTGCTGAAGTTTGAATGCATTGGAATGTCTGTTGTTCAAAATCCTTTAATCAGCGACCAGTTCGCTTGTGAATAATCTTTAGACAAAACAAAACTTTGTCTCATCATTTCTACAAGAGATTGATTTGATGAATTTGAGAAGTCTTAAGAAATCTGGTATTACTATTAATACAAAAACTGTCGCTAGTATTGCTGCACCTGTCATCCCTATGGCTGTTGCTGATGTGCGTCCATCATAAACGCTGATTTTTTTCCGTTTATATGACGACAGTGTGCTCTTGGTGATAAGCAATTCTTTCTTTAAAATGGCAAGCTTGCACAACATATCTTCATTGTCACATTTAGTGTCATTAACAAGCCGACAAATGCAAGTGCATATGTCTTTTATCTTTGGAACAGCAGTTGTTGATGTATTAGTTGATAATGGGTAGAATGTCGTAGCTGAAGTTGTGAATTGTTTAGTTGTGGTGTCGAGTGTTGCAGTAGTGGTATAAGTAGAGTTGTAGCTCGTAGTGGTGATAGCGGTGGTGGTAATGGTAGTAACAGTGGGAGCAGTTGTGGTCGTAATGGTGGAAGTGGTGTCAGTTGTGGTTGCAGATGTTGAGGAAGGGCCAGTGGTTGGGAAGGTCGTCGTCGGCGACTTCGTCGTTGTCGTCGTAAGAGATGTGGATGACATGGTTGTTGATTCTGAAAAATCAAAACAGTAACTGAATAACATAATTTCCTAATCAAATATCATTGACAAAATTATTAGTTTTGGGGAGATACGCATTCTTATCAGCTGTTTAGATATGCAAAGGCTTCTAAATTTATTTAAATTATATATAATTCAGCTGCTGACAGGTTATGTCGTAGATACTGTTACGCGGTTCAGAAAATACACGTGTACTTGACAGTATTCTAAATTTATCTAACGTATCAAAATTAATACATCTGCTGAACATCCCGTCTAGATTTTGGTTTTTCTTCTGATCACTTTAGATTCTCCATAGTCGCCTCCTAGGCTACAAATTTTAGGCTCTTAGAATCACTTTGTTACAACCTCTTATGTATATATGAGCGGATAATGATTAATAGAATGAATAAACGGTTTACCATCGGCAACATTTACTTAAACATTCAATTACATTATCAACAAATTACTGTTCAAGCAAGGAAAAATGTTGATGATTTTATCTATATTTACTCCTAGCATGCCTTATATTGTGACAGTATACCCATGTCCAAAATGTGGCTTTAGGGTAAAATACAGCAAATAATGCTCAAAGGAAACGTATTTGTGAATAATACTTTATATGAAATCGGCAAAGAAACAGATAATTCATACACAAATGCCTTTATACCTATCTAGTTGAATGAACAAATTGTAATCTGGTTATAGTGGTCTAGCAAATCGTATTCAAACTTTTCCGTTTGTAGCATCCAAGAGAATCTGGGAATCATTGTCAAATAACTAACTTTTGATAGTGCATGTTGAAAAATAATTGCCATTACTCTAGTTAGCATTTAGATTTAGATTTATACAACGTCGTGTACACATAGTGCCAGATCGTGAAACCCTGCACCTTTTTTATGAAATGTCATTACCTTATGTACATTTTCAACCGCCAAGAGAATGTAAGCAATTCAAAATAACAACTCGTTTTGTTTGTGCAATAGACCTTCCCTCCCATTGGAGACATGTTTTTTCTTTTCTTTTTTTATTTTGCCATTCTTGGCAAGAATTCAATTACATGCAAAACGCACAACCACATCAGGAATTGGTCAAGATTAAAAAAATGTAATTGATTGTAATATCAAATACGTGTATGTATTCCCAGTGTAGCTATCAATGCGGTGCTGTCATTGATTAGCAATCTTTTAACAACGTTTGCATAGAATATTCATATGAAGAAATTAATATATTTTTGTCGTCGCATTTATCAAGAAATAAACAGTTATGATCATTGTTGTGGAAGAGAATGTTTTAATTTCTAACAAAGCGTAAACCAATAACGTCTCATCAATCATTTCTGTCTTGAAAAAAGATTTCAGAAAGGATAATTGGTGTCATTTGCTGTAGTATGTATCATGATAAAGTTCTACCTGAGTGGCTTTACTTCATAGTTTTGCACTTCATTATCCTGGTGCATTTTGGAATCAATAAACCGATAATAATTTACATTCCGTGAAACCTATTATCGGTGAAGGGTCGCCATGCTATATAGACAACCAGAGCGGCGATGCATCGGCTTTAAAATTGAATATATAGACTTATTCATAACAAATACTCCAAAGAATCAAAAGATTGTACAAAAGATACACAAATGGCAACATTTGATACAAATATAGATAAGATTTAGTAGAGCCAAGCCATAGGCTAGACTGCATCATGCCGGTGTTTCGTCCTGCTAGAACTCGTCAGTGATGCTGACAGCCGAATGTTATACCTAGGAGGCGACTGAGGAAATTCCAAAGTGATTGGAAAGAAATTTCAAACTTTAGATAGGGAGGTGTACTATCCCCATAATTTAGTAAATAGTTAATACATCCAGAGAGTCCCGAGTCCTGTACACAAATAACTTAATGGAACCTATAGAATTTCTAGGAATACTTGAATTATATCTTGCGGGACACATTGTTTTCAGCAATAAAGTTAAAATGAACTCCTGAAAATAATATACAGTACATTGATCACTGACTGATAGTTGAAATCGAGAAATATAAAAAGATATGTGTTACCTGTGTGTCGTATTCGATAAATTAAACAAAAAGAAGTCAATAATTTGTAACGTTGGGAATATCATGTATCGGGTGATAATACTGTAAAAACTTCGTTTTCAATGTTGCTTCTGAATAAACATATTTTGTCAGTATTCACCAGTAACAGGTCCCAACGTTGTAACAACCTTGTGCAGGTTTGTACGGATTTATATATAGTATAAACATTTACATACTATTAATGCACCCATTTTCTACCGTGCGACCCTTGCCCTTAAAATGTTAGTATCATTCGGCGATCATGTTTCCTGACTCTCTTTATGCAGATTGCATTTTAAAGCCAAAAGTTATCAACATTGACTACACTACAATGGACTTCAAACAATATTGCCCATTGTCTGTTCCAGAATGACTCCGCTATATCAATGTCCTACGGCAGGCAGTTTACTGTTATTATCGATACACTTATACATTGGAATTTTTTTTTTCATTTTAAAATGAGACGTCCAGATGAGAAAGTCTAGCTTTTTCATTGTGTACTCGGACATAGAAATTAACTGCTGCGTTAATTATATGTATCTACTGCATTTACTAGTATATGCTGGTTGCCCGATTCTTCGTTTAACACATGAATACGACTCAACAGACAGTTCATTTGAGTTTGAGTAGTCCAGAAAATTCCCCTTTTCGTTGTCGGCTATGGAACCGTGCGTTTATTTGCCTATGGTTCGGGCTAACAGTGGTCTACATTCGATTCCTAGTGGTGAAGTGGAACTTTTTGTTGACTGTCCGTTCCATTTTGTTTGAATATTCTACAATGATGTGTTACATCCTTAGTCTTGGTGTATAAAAAATCGTTCCACGTGCGACCACGACAATGTCAGCGGATAGGCCTTCGCCATTGAGAAGCGTGGAAAGGACTATTTAGCAATGCATAATGGGTATGATAACGCGGATGAACCGAGTACTCCTTATGATGATAAGGTGTCACCAGAGGGCACAGAGAATCGTCCTTCCGCCAATATTGAGGCCTGTTGGACTGATTGTGAGAAGACTGACGATTGAGACACCGATGTAATGGGATTAGGTTCGGAGGACGATGACAATTAATTCCGGATATCAAATAACGAAATACCAAAAACTGAACATGAAAGTGTCAGAGTTGAACCCCATGCCATTTAACGGAGGTTTAACCGGAGAACAAATGGCAATCTAAGTTACAATAAATATAACCCAACTAGTCATGCATTAACAATCCCTTTACTCATTTTAATAACCTAGATCCAATGTATTTGCTTATCGTTGTCAGAGAAATATGTTTAATATTACATGATCTTAACAGGGTCTTAAAATAGGTAGACAGATATTTACTATTTAAGGACAGCTATTGATAATGTATATTCCTACGTATGATCACAAAATAGACTGTGGCGTAAGACACTCTCTAGAAAAGCATGAAACAAGTAGTACATTACCAATTAAATAAAATAACATACCTGGTGATTGACAAGTGTAGTTAACCTCCAAGTATTTATACGACCCCGGACAAGGATCGCCATACTCAGTGTTGGTGGGAGTCAGGGTACACGTCGTCTCCCCGTCACACTGTGAGGTGATGCTTGCAAACACCCTATCTGCTTTACATCCAGTTGAGGTCATAGCTACATGTGGACACGTTACTTTGTCAAACCGTCCGTAACGTGCACTGGTCACTGTTATCAGTCCATCACACGTGATCGTCCCGGTTTTATCTTCACAGATATTTATAATCTCGTGTGCTGTAATAAAAGAAAAATGACCTCTTAGCTGGTTTGTGTCATTAAAAGAAATGTAATTCTGTACATTTGAGTGTGTATTACTACAGTCTGACGAAGTATTGTAAAACCAGTTTAACACCTTGCTTCTGCTGCTCTTACTAGAGCACAAGAGAGTTTCATCTGATAAACTGTTGTTGTTAGTATCTATCTATACCATACCTGATATGAAGGCAGACAGATGAACGTTATAATAACACGAATCTTTGAAACATCAAACCTTGGCAAGCCTTAGAAATTCATGTCTCGTAAGGCTATAATACAGCTTCTCTTGGTATTAAACAGTGCGTTTTCGGACACCATTGAATCTGTACCAGCAATGTCATTCTTTACTCTCCTTCACACATGCAATCACAAAGAACTTTGTACAGATTGATAAATCATGTCGTTAACGGAATATACTTCAGAGACTACACAGCAGCAATTTTACGTTATATCTTAAAATATTGTTGGATAAGTAAAATAACTGCTCGATTATATGATGGAGTATCAGACTACTTTGTCCGTGTCATGACATTTCAGTATGATAGCACTAATGTCTTTACCTGTTGGGACGACAAAAAGCTGTTAGTGAAACATCTCTTTGTAGTTATATATATTGACCAATGCGGTAATTTGTAAGATTTATTTGTATACAGCACATGTATGTGTCTGTCTCGGTTAAAGCTGTTCTCGTGTACGGTGTATGTATGTAAGTATATTTTTTTTCATCGTTACTTATCAGTGACAAACTTTCCACTGAGGATCACATTATCTGTTATTCATGCCATATCCAACATGAACAATGCAGCATACTTACAACAACACCTTAATAACAATTCGATATACATAGGAAAGAAAAAATAGCATAATAAAGGAAACTTCATATACATATAATACTTAAACACCTTCAGAGGTAATATGTAAATGCGGAACTGCACACAAATAAATGTAAGCCGATCAAAAAACAGTATAAGATGACATTCAAATGTATTATCAATTTTTTATCATGAGCATGGACGAATCGTCAGAATGAAGTTTTACGTACCATAACTGTACTTTTCCATATTTCATCAACATTAAATCAGCGTTCAAACAACACCTAGTTCATGTATATATATATAATACCAAGGTACTCCCCCACACTTTTCGTTGAAATACGATGTTCTGAAATCAATCAATGGAACGGAGTTGTGCACCGTCTCATCTCAAACAATGTCAAACACCCCATCTGCACTACATCCAGTAAAGGTCATAGATTTATGTGGACACGTTACGTGGTCAAACCGTCCGTAACGTGCACTGATCACTGTTATCTGTCCATCACACGTGATCGTCTTTTTTTCCCTTCACAGATATTAAAATCTCATAAGCTGGAAAAGAAGCAATTTTGTGTAGTTTTATTCATTTTTGCCGCAGTCAACAGTTATATTGCTATGAAGACTGCGGTTATAATTGATACGTCACTTTCAATAGCGTGATACTGAGGATAGCTCACACAAGACAGCATGATGATTTACCTGCTCATAATATAATATTTTATATAGAGAATACAGTGTAAGTACTGTCTATTACAATATTGATTTTTGAGATGTTTAGGAAAGACGCAGCATTCTTCCCCTTTCGGCTCAGAGCAAAACATTAGATCTTAAATTGTACGATAGTAACCACGTATTATTTTATTCTGTAACCGTCAATCAGCAGTTTTTACATTTAAACGGAACGAAAAGGAATATATCTAAATTTCTCATTGGAAACATGCAAGCACTATAACGCGCAAGAATATATCCTATAATGATGTATATATTCGCCTGTATTGTTGTATTCGTATCAAAGCATAATGAGTATAGTTCATTTATTATATGTAGAATAATTAATAACTCATCTGTTTGTGAAATGATAATATCTGTATCATCTATTTTCTATTATCAACCATTTGATTCCACTGAGTCATCGTATTGGCAATTGTTAATATGAAATACAGAGTGGTTGCAGTATACATCTGGTCATTTATAGCAAACATTTAAAGTCATAGAGTAGTCTGGTATATAGACTTCAATTCATTTTCAGATCAGCCAGTACATTGATACACGTGACAAACCTGTTAGAGTGGTAGGTAGAGGATATACATTGATACACGTGACAAACCTGTTAGAGTGGTAGGTAGAGGATGTACATTGATACACGTGACAAACCTGTTAGAGTAGTAGGTAGAGGATGTACATTGATACACGTGACAAACCTGTTAGAGTAGTAGGTAGAGGATGTACATTGATACACGTGACAAACCTGTTAGAGTGGTAGGTAGAGGATGTACATTGATACACGTGACAAACCTGTTAGAGTGGTAGGTAGAGGATGTACATTGATACACGTGACAAACCTGTTAGAGTGGTAGGTAGAGGATGTACATTGATACACGTGACAAACCTGTTAGAGTGGTAGGTAGAGGATGTACATTGATACACGTGACAAACCTGTTAGAGTGGTAGGTAGAGAATGTACATTGATACACGTGACAAACCTGTTAGAGTGGTAGGTAGAGGATATACATTGATACACGTGACAAACCTGTTAGAGTGGTAGGTAGAGGATGTACATTGATACACGTGACAAACCTGTTAGAGTGGTAGGTAGAGGATGTACATTGATACACATGACAAACCTGTTAGAGTAGTAGGTAGAAGATCTACATCGATACACGTGACAAACCTGTTAGAGTAGTAGGTAGAGGATCTACATCGATACACGTGACAAACCTGTTAGAGTGGTAGGTAGAGGATGTACATTGATACACGTGACAAACCTGTTAGAGTGGTAGGTAGAGGATGTACATTGATACACGTGACAAACCTGTTAGAGTGGTAGGTAGAGGATGTACATTGATACACGTGACAAACCTGTTAGAGTGGTAGGTAGAGGATGTACATTGATACACGTGACAAACCTGTTAGAGTGGTAGGTAGAGAATGTACATTGATACACGTGACAAACCTGTTAGAGTGGTAGGTAGAGGATGTACATTGATACACGTGACAAACCTGTTAGAGTGGTAGGTAGAGGATGTACATTGATACACGTGACAAACCTGTTAGAGTGGTAGGTAGAGGATGTACATTGATACACGTGACAAACCTGTTAGAGTAGTAGGTAGAAGATCTACATCGATACACGTGACAAACCTGTTAGAGTAGTAGGTAGAGGATCTACATCGATACACGTGACAAACCTGTTAGAGTGGTAGGTAGAGGATGTACATTGATACACGTGACAAACCTGTTAGAGTAGTCCTTGAGAGGATGTACATCCGTACACGTGACAAGACTGTTAGAGTAGTAGGTAGAGGATATAGATCCATACACGTGACAAACCTGTTAGAGTAGTCCGGTAGAGGACGTACATCCATACACGTGACAAACCTGTTAAAAAAGCAGGTAGAGGATGTACATTGATACACGTGACAAGCCTGTTAGAGTAGTAAGTAGAGGATGTACATCGCTACACGTGACAAACCTGTTAGAGTAATAGGTAGAGGATGTACATCCATACACGTGACAAGACTGTTAGAGTAGTCCGGTAGAGTATGTACATCCATTCACGTGGCAAACCTGTTGGTGTAGTCCGGTAGAGGATGTACAACCATACACGTGACTAGACTGTTAAAGTGGTCCGGTAGAGGATGTACACCGATACACGTGACCAACCTGTTGATGTAGTAGGTAGAGGATGTACATCCCTACACGTGACAAACCTGTTACAGTAGTAGGTAGATGATGTACATTGATACACGTGACAAGACTGTTAGAGTAGTCCGGTAGAGGATGCACATCCATAACACGTGACAAACCTGTTAGAGAAGTAGGTAAAGGATGTACATTGATACACGTGACAAACCTGTTAGAGTAGTAGGTAGAGGATGTATATCGATAAATGTAACAAACCTGTTACAGTAGTAGGTAGAGGATGTACATCGATACACGTGACAAACCTGTTAGAGTAGCAGGTAGAGGATGTACATCGATACACGTGACAAACCTGTTAGATTAGTAGGTAGAGGATGTATATCGATAAATGTAACAAACCTGTTACAGTAGTAGGTAGAGGATGTACATCGATACACGTGACAAACCTGTTAGAGTAGCAGGTAGAGGATGTACATCGATACACGTGACAAACCTGTTACAGTAGTAGGTAGAGGATGTACATCGATACACGTGACAAACCTGTTAGAGAAGTAGGTAAAGGATGTACATCGATACACGTGACAAACCTGTTAGAGTAGTAGGTAGAGGATGTATATCGATAAATGTAACAAACCTGTTAGAGTAGTAGGTAGAGGATGTACATCGATACACGTGACAAACCCGTTAGAGTAGCAGGTAGAGGATGTACATCGATAAATGTAACAAACCTGTTACAGTAGTAGGTAGAGGATGTACATCGATACACGTGACAAACCTGTTAGAGTAGCAGGTAGAGGATGTACATCGATACACGTGACAAACCTGTTAGAGTAGCAGGTAGAGGATATACATCGATACACGTGACAAACCTGTTAGAGTAGCAGGTAGAGGATGTACATCGATACACGTGACAAACCTGTTAGAGTAGTAAGTAGAGGATGTACATCGCTACACGTGACAAACCTGTTAGAGTAGTAGGTAGAGGATGTACATCCATACACGTGACAAGACTGTTAGAGTAGTCCGGTAGAGTATGTACATCCATTCACGTGACAAACCTGTTGGTGTAGTCCGGTAGAGGATGTACAACCATACACGTGACTAGACTGTTAAAGTGGTCCGGTAGAGGATGTACACCGATACACGTGACCAACCTGTTCATGTAGTAGGTAGAGGATGTACATCCCTACAAGTGACAAACCTGTTACAGTAGTAGGTAGATGATGTACATTGATACACGTGACAAGACTGTTAGAGTAGTCCGGTAGAGGATGCACATCCATAACACGTGACAAACCTGTT